TTGAATGGACAGATTTTAGAAGACCAATTTCCCAAGTTTGGAAACCAGCGGGATATCAAGATCTAGGTACCGATTACTTTCCTTGGCGCTCTAACCAAATGGTTGACGGGAAGTGGCTTAAGGGGAGATAGATTTATTTTGTCCCACAGTTTAAGAGAAAGAATCTTTTAGTCATTGTGGTGGGGAGGGCATTGCAGACTCCATGGTAGCAGAAGCATCTAGCTGGACAATCTGACATCTGCATTAGTCAGGAAGCAGGGTAATTCTATGGCTCGGATCAACTTCGCTCTTTTGTTAAATAGAGGACACCAGCCCATGGATGGCAAAAGGCACATTCATGGTGGGTGTTCCCCTCCCTGGAAACACCTTAGCAGATATGCCTAGCAGTGTATCTTCCAAGTGACCCCAAATCTAGACAAATTGACTACCATGGTCCAAAGAAGGGTGTTTGCTTCCTCTGTCCCTCAAGAGAAGGTAACAGGAAGCTGCTATGTGGTTTTCCCCTAGCTCAGGCTTCCACCAACTTCCCTGTACTATTGATGGCTCAGAAATGGCACCGACAGGAATAATTCTTCCCCTAGCTTCAGTTGACCCCCACTTTTGCCTCCTACTTTTCGGCATCTACGGGAGGATAAGTGCACCTCCCTATACTTCTAATTTATCACCGTTCCACCTTTTCTCTCCCCAAAGTACACACTGGTGGATGGTCAAATCCCAAGAATCAGAAGTCAATAAAAGAAATGAAGACCTGCTAGACCTTGAACCAGGCTATATACTTTGGACCAGCCGTACAAAAACTCTAGTGAAATAATACCTTTTGTGCTCTGTCTATGGGTTTCCCGTATGTATGCATGACTCCTTACATAATTCACAAGCAAAGTAAATGTGGTGCAGAGTTGAGTTCTTCGATTCCAACGACTTCCCAGAAGTCTCCGCATTTTAATTATAATAATTAACCTTGTGAAAACTGTTGAGGTGGTGCTCTAAGAAAAAAGATTCAGTTAGATTAACAGGAGAGGGATTTTAATTGATAAATCAGGGTGTGGCCTTCCAGTGTTTCCATTCCTTCCAGCATCTGTCTGGAGTCTAATCTAGCTCAAACTTCATTTCCTTTTTTGTCCACCAAAAAAAGGTCTCTGAAATGTGTTTTATGAAATCTGAATTTCAAAGTTACATTGTTTCTAAAGCCAGTCTTGCTTTTTGCTCCGTTGGTAAACTTGAATTTTAAAAGCCTTCCTAACCAAGCTCATGAAATTGTTGGAATAAAATGCACAGGGAGACTGGAAGGTACTTGGAAAGTAAGAGGACATTTAAAACAATAAAAATATATTATTTAGCAGAATAGTCTACTAAATAAGAATTGTAGTATAAAAGGAGATATAACTAATCCTGTTTCCTCGAGCACCAGTATTTGTCCTCTCTGCAGTCCCATCTCTGGAATTCTCTGGTCTACTTTATTTTGCATTTAGAGAGTTGTTAAATTATTTGGAACAGGGCTCTTTAAATGTGCACTCAACACCAACAATTCTAAATTGTTTTATTCTTGTTTTCCTCCCGAACAGGGGAGATTGAGATGTGAGCAAATGTAGACAAAGAAACTACAGAATTTAAAAAGGGGTCTAGCTTGCAGACAGTGATGGATGCTTTGCAAAAATACTTTTCTCTGAAAGCTGGAGACAGGAATTGTGTCTTTATTCTCTGCTAGCAAGTCCCAAGTTCAAACAAACAGCCCAGGATCTGAAAGCTATCTGTTTCAGAGTCCAAACCTTCAACTGAATACTCATTCTCATCCAGAAATATCTTCTTTCTTTCTACATCAGAATTATCTTTGTTTTTCATTTATTTTAGGGAAATTCATGCATGAGTATTTACATAGTTTTCACCCCACCCTCTCCTATGCCATTCCTACTACTCTCTCTCTCAAATTCATGACCACTTCACACACACACACACACACACACACACACACACACACACACACACACAC